AGAAAAGAAAAGAATTCCCTATCAGTCACAAGGCCCTCTCTTTTATTCTCAGTCTTGACAAAGTCGCTATAGGATGAGTTGAGAGAGGGGAGGGAAAAAGGGGTTTTAAGGTCAGGATAATCTAGACCAATGGGGGTTCTAGTAGGGGACAATCCTAATAGATGGCAGATATCAAGAACAGTAGGGGCTATCATCCCACATCTGAATTGAAAGAAATTAAAAGCAGAATTCTAAAAGCAAACGGTAGTAGGTATTAAGAAAGGGTCCTCCGAAATGGTGAACATGGATAATTGGAGGGCGTCGAAAAGGCAAAGCTCTTGAAGATCCAAAGTCCTATCAGGGACAACCCAATCATACCATTATTGCCACTCTGGTCTCACCGTAGGCCAGCAGCGATGGGGGCGATTCATCCTCTAGCTTCCCTAGTCAAGACCACCTTCGTAAAGAAGACAATGGTCTTCTAGACGTGGATATAGAGTTGGAAGCTCAGTAGGAATCTTCCTGAATATGGACCTAAGCACATACTCTTGTTGCTCATGACGACGAGGAATGAAGATGCGTCCGTCAATGGCGCTTTTCTCACCAGCCTTGTACTTCTCACACTCTGCGTCAATAATCCTTTTCAAGGTTACAGACGGACTCGCACGCTCCACGACCGGTATTTTCAAAGAAGAAGAAGCCATTGATAGAGAGTTTTCTCAGAAGACGAAGTCGGGAAAGGGAGTAGAGAAAAAAGGAAGGTCAGTAGAGATGAAGGGTTTGTGTGATAGGCAAATAGGTGAATTCAAAGCACGAAATAAAAGGGTTTTAAAACTTTTGTGTCTGAAAAATATACCCAGTCGTTTTGCACGGACGAAATTCACAAAGAAGTACTAAAGGTACGGATGCGAAAAGTTTCTTTCTATATTGATAGTTATGGAGGGAAACACATCTCAAATACTGATGTCAGTTTCGAAATAAAATATTTGGCTTCGAAGCCAAATTTTTGCGCCAAAATCAAATGACAAATGGCTTCGAAAGTAGGAAGCCGATTTTGAAGCACAAACAGGATTAAAGACCTGTTTGTAGGTTTCTAAATGAGAGTAATATCCTTCGAAACAAAATTTGAAATACCTTTCGGTTAGAAATTGTTTATTCTAAGTTTTAAACCGGTAGTTGGTTTGATATGATACAGAAGGAATCATTAGTGTAGTCCTTAGAAGAGGTTTTCATGTTTTGGAAAATGTAGGCTGTTTGTTTGAAACAAAATTAGTTGATTCAAAATTACTTGATTGTATTAACCATATGTTGGGGAATTGGGTATGATCAAATCAAGTTTTAAAGGGCAAAACTGTTGAATTCGAAGCTTCGATTCTGAAAAGAACCCGGCAAAAGTTGTCAATTATACTCCATAAGTTGGAAAAGTTCAAATTGGGTTTTCAGTATTTCATTGGGTATGATCGAATTGAAATTTGAAGGGTGAAATTGTTGAATTAGAAGCCTTAAGTTTGTTTGTCTTTGACAAATAGGATAAAATCATACCATGCCAAATAAAGAAGAGACATCTTGGCTTTATTAAGACAGAAGCAATTACATCAGGGGCCTTCTTTGGCTACATATTCAAGTTCATAAAAATAAGGAATAGAATAAATGACAAGGTCATGGAACTTGTTCCAACTATGGTCAATAAACTTATGTTCCTTCTTTATTCTGTCTTCAATTTTTTCCAAGCTAGGCTGTTGAAGTTGATATGCTCTTACTTGATAAAAAAAAAAAGTTTTTCGGCCCTTATTTCAAACTCTATTTCTTTCAAACTTTGTTCCATCTCATCCATGTCCAAGTCATCCCAGTATGCAGAGTCTTTGTTCTTGAAATCATTATATTCATCGAAAAGGTTCTCTGCTTCATACCAGGTATGAACTCGATGGGCTGAGATTTGATCTAAAGATTGAGTGGTGACCACAGAAATGCGATGCCAATGAAGAAGCAATGGGAGTTGGTCTAAGAACATCTGGAGCTTTGCTTGGGCGATAGGATTGTGGACATGACCCCGGGTCATAACATCATAAGCCCATCAAAAGTTCTTGAGAGGAATATCGCCCTCGAGAACATTGAAGGGAAAGTGAGAAAAGGCCACAAGCAAAAGTTGGGCTTACTGTCGCTGATGTTTAGTAGGAGGAGATGGAGGGTGATAAGTGGGAAGAAACTGGTCCTCAAAGAGGGTAAGTCTCAGTTCCTCCATCTAATAAGGGTTTTGCGAAAGAGGAGGTGCAGGAGCTTCCATCTCGAAAGAAGAAGGAAATGGGGGGTTGTTGACGATATCAAGCCAGTCAGAAGAACAAAGTTTTGCCTTTTGGGTTAAGAATGACGGGCTGTACCCTTGAGCCTCTTTTGGATGGTAAGTGCCTTGTACTATCTTCGTAGGCATGGAAGATGTGTACCATGCTACGAGTAAGTTGTCTTCCAAACGGCGTCGACGGTCGATGGGTACGTATGGGTAAACCACCGAACTCCGAGCAAAGGGAAGGAAATTTAGAGGATCGATGAATTCGACAAAATGATGATTGATTCGTTTTTTAACTTGGACTCCTCAGGTTCTGGCCAGCTTCTCCAACCAGAAGCCCCAGAAGAGGAAGAAGCTACAGCCTCATCCCACGCAGAAGATTTTGGACCAGAGGAAGAGCTTCCAATATCCATGTTTGCAAAATTTTGGGTTAAAGAATTGTGGAAAATAGGTTCGTAATCCAAAGGTTGATAGTTTGCAAAAGCCTCCATGACTTGAATATAGAAAGGTGGGTAAAGGTGGCTAATCAATTCATGAAAGTTTTTTCGAGGATGAACAAGATCATCAAATAACTCTTCGTATGCTTGATCAATGTAAGAAAAGATTGGTTTGGCCATAGAAGATGTATCAGTCTTTTCGAATACTGAGATAGTGAGAATGTTCAAAAGTTAGAAGAGAATTTAATGCAAATGATGAATGACGGTTGCATTTCTGAAAAAATGCAAAGCCCATGCACATTCTAAGACGTGGATAAAATACCTTGATCCACTAATATCACCAAGTATTGGGTATATTAGTGCGGGGGGTAATGTTGGCTACATATTTTGTATAAGCCAATTACAGTTCGACACGTAGCAGGATAAGGGCAATACGGGAAGACAATTCGAATCTTCAATCATAATCACACACGTGGCAGTTAGTATTGGTTTTTGTAGATCTGCATAAGCACTGGATCAGCAAAGAGATGTAAGATGACGTGGCTTCAACGATTACTCATATTTAAATTCAAAATCAGGAGGGAAGCCTAACTGTAGATGTGGCATAGTGGAGCTAACTATAAGGCAACATGATCAGCGACCATGGAGGGATGGTTCAACGGTTAGAAATGTGGTTCGACGGTTGTCATTAAGAAGTATAAATAGTAGATAAGGCCCCAGAAAGTGCCCCCAGACTCAAATCTAAAAAACCAGCTTTATCTACTTTATTTTTCCTTCCAGTTTTTACATTTCTTGTTCTTAACATTTCTGTACTTCAAATTCCTACCCTACACTGCACTGCACTTCGTTTATAGGAGTAGTTTCAAGTAGTTTGTTGCTGTAAACCTCAACGAGTCTGATTTCGATCTTTGTAAGTCTTTCATTTTACTCAATGAAATGTTATAATTGTTCTTCATTTAATAATTGTTTACTTAATTCTCCTAAACAAAGCCACCAGTAAAAGTCCTCTTCATTGAGGCTGAAAGAATTAAAACACAATCGTCTGATAATTGGTTAGCAATTAATATTCTGTAAGGACTAATTGATCCTTGCTAGCACGTTTATAATTACAAAAATAACCTTCGAAAGCCAAAAAGCCGACAATGTCAAACTGTTTGGTACAGCTTCTGGTTATAAATTATTAGATAGAAATAACTTAAATAAGTTGATTATTTGAAAGCTGGAGTAGGAGTGTATTTACTTTTTACTTTCTGATTATCAACTTTTAACTTAAAAAAAGCTCCACCAAACCGGGCCAATGAGCAGATTTATGTGTGTACCTCTCAAGTCAAGGCTAAGGATTAGTGTGGTTATGTTACGGATGATGTAATATAAACATCATGTACTATTTTGGTGAAAAAACTTATGGCATATTGTAGCATTTATTACAGAATATTGGGATTAAAATAAATTATAAATACATATCTTGAGATTTATTTAAAATATAAATTTTTCTTTGTGATTTAGAAAATTACAAATATCACATTGTTGGAATTTTTTATTTAATAAAATTAACTGAAAAAATAAAATTTCTAACTGTTTTCCTATACAATAATAAAATTATATGAATTATATATTAATTTAAATAAATTTATGACATTATTAAAAATTGTTAATTGACTTGATGATTTATTAATAAAATGGGCAATTTGTTACGAAATTATAAATTGCAAGGGATGAAATATAATTTTTAGAATCACAAGGGACAAATCATAATTTAAGCAAATCTTAATGGGTGTATTTGTGCACAAGTCATATTTATGACACATCTTTAAAGAGTATTTTCGTCATAAATGTTATATATGCACATTACATACACCTTTTCTATCTGTTTTGATAACCAAATTGAGACATAAGAGTTAGATTAAAAACTTTCAGAAGATAAAGAAGGTACATTGTCCAAACCAAACTTTCAGAAGATAAAGGAGGTACATTGTCCAAACCAAACTAAGTCTTTAATCCTATCAAATAAGATCGGCTACATGAATCCTTAATCTCCACTCAATTCTAGCAACAGTCATTTGGTTAGTCAAATTAAGGAGATTCATATCTCTATTTACTATACTAGCTTAGATCAATCTAGGTCTGCACATTCCTCTAATACTTCCATCTACCGTCATTGTATCGTGTCTCTTCACTACAGCCTCTATTAGTCTCCGTTGTATATAACTAAATCATCTTAATCTATTCTTTCTCAACTTATCTTCTATTGGTACTATTAAAGAAAGTACACTGTATCAATTTTTAATTTGAGAGGGTAAAGTATAATTTGCCCTTGAGTTTTAAAGGGCAATGTTTTTTAAAAAAATTACAAATGTGACCCCAATTCCTAATTCGTATCACTTGATACTTCAAATTCTTATAGTCACATTAAAGAACGTCAAATTTTAAAATGATAAGACTCAAAATTGTCACCAAATTCTGAATCAAAGTTTCATACAATTTTTTTCGTTTGTATAGCACTCCTCGGTATGTATATCCATGCCTGTAGGTACCATTTGAAAGATGCAGCTATAGAAGGAGGACTTCCATTCAACAGAGCCTATGGAATGAATGCATTTGACTATGTTGGGAAGGATGGTAGGTGTGGTGAGCTTTTTAAAGGTTTTATGGGAGACTACAATCCCTTGTTCATGAATAAGATTTTGGAGACTTACAATGGCTTTCAAGGTTTGAATTCTATTGTGGATGTTGGTGGTGCAAATGGTGCTATCCTTAACATGATTGTTTCCAAGTACCCTACTATCAAAGGCATCAACTTTGACCTTCCTCAAGTTATTGAAAAGTCTCCTTCTTATCATGGTATGTGGATTAATTTTATATACATCTCTCAACTTATTTATACTGTTATGAAAATTTTGGCATGCTCAAATTGACTTGGTATCTCACTTTCTTTTCTTTATTTTTCATTTTCAATTATCTATTCATTTAAAAAATTTGTCTTTTTACAATCAATTCAACAGTCCAATTCAAAGATTGTGTGGGTCTCACTCAACCCCTCTCACAATTTTTGAACTGAACTATCCAATTAATCAGAGAAAAGCCCAGCTTCTTGAAAGAAGAAAAGCACCTCCAAAATTTAAATTTATTTCTCCAAGCTTCCTCAAATCAAGTGAGCATGTAATACTTAAGTTAGAACCGGGTCAAATTTAAAATACCAAGCTGACAAATTAAAGAGCAAGTGTGATTTTACTTTTCAAATTATTCCTCAAAAATTAGTTTGACTCATGTTTTTTTTTTATTTTTAATTATATCAATTTTGCACAAACTATTTTAATTTGGATCGCTATCTATAATTAAATGGAATCTCTCATTTTATTCCTAAATTACCCCTCAGAAGTCATTTACCCTCCAGAACAGAGAGACTACAATATAATTTTCCTTTTCTATTCTTTATTCTTTATTCTTTATTTTTTTCTTTTGCAGGTATTGAGCATGTTGCAGGAGACATGTTCTCGAGCATTCCGAAAGGAGATGCCATTTTCATGAAGGTTGGTTATGATTGTTTTTAAGTTTATTAATTTATATATTTTGATGGGATTTAAGATTTGATTTAGTTTAGTTTTAATTTATATACTTTGATTCAGGAAAATTGCGGTCACAGAGTAAATTGATTGATAGAAAACTCTATAATATCCTATTTATTATGGTTTTTTTTTTGTTTGTTAATAAAATGTTATGAATCTTATTGTAAATGTTACACAATTTATAATAATTTGTGATTTTTGAAGTGTAATTATAACAATTTGTGATACAGTTACCTATTTTTATTATGTGTTTAAATTTTTTTCATCGAAATTTTACTCAACAGTAATAAATTATATTATGTTTCAAAATTTTGAGTAATATTTCAGTGAAAAAAAGCGTAATACTATCACACACACCCCAAAAAAACAATGTATCAGAAATTGTGGTGACTTCATTTTAGAAACTGTAAATTATCACAAGACTACCAAAAAAAACTGCATAACATATTTCAAAAAGATTTATACCATTTATAAAAATAAAAATAAAAATAAAAATAAATGTAACAACGTGCGAATAATATGGACCTTTACAATAACGTAGCATTTCTGTGAGTGAGCTTTTGACTGACACGTGGATTTTTAATGGTGTAATCAAACAGTGGATACTTCATAGTTGGGATGACAAACACTGCTTGAAGATACTGAAAAATTGCCGAGTCATTGCCAAAAAATGGAAAAGTGATTGCGGTGGGTATGGTGGTTCTAGAATCCCCTGAAACGATTACGCTGTATTTGGTTGGGGATTTAGAGAGTGATTTGGAAAGAGAAAGGAAAAATGTGTGTGAAATTAAGTGAAATATAAGTATGTTTTATTCACATTTCACCTACTTTTTTTATTTCTCTTTTTAAATTTCTACTCAAATCTCTCAACCGAATACAACACTAGTGTTGCTGTGAAAAGTGAACTGCAATTCAGCTTTGCTTGATGAACATGAACCCTGGAGGAAGGGAAAGGACCAAAACCCAGCTCCAGCTGTGGCTTGTCGTGCCAACAATTTCTCACTTGTGGAATTCCATAGAAAAATGTAACCCATTGTAACTATTCCTAGGGTATTTATTTTTAGGTTGTGTTTGGATATATGATTTGAGTAGAAAGTTGTGGAGGGGATGGAAATAAGAAGGGTGAAGTGGTGAAAATATGAGTTAAATTTTTATCACTTTTCTCTTCTATTTTCATTTTCCGCTCTAAATTCTTACACAAATTTATAATTTAAACACATTCTTAGAGTCTGCTTGATTGCAAAGGAATTAAGGGAAAATTTATGATGCGCACCCTCACAAAGGGCCACATTGTAAGAAAGTTTTGACTTCTTTTTAATAAAAGTTATGAATGTTTGTAGTGTAGTGTGCTAATTTGTAACAAAAGTTAAGAATAATAAATTTATGACAAATTATTCTTGTCCCGCTGAGTGTGTCAATTTATATTAGTAATAATATTTCTGTTAGGCTATGATTCATGCTTTAACACAAACTTAATAAAGATCAAGAAATTGTTGAGGTTCCATTGCCTTTGACAAATTCGAGGACCCCTTTAAAACAAAGAAACAGGAACTAACTAAAGAATTCAAGCAAACTCAAGGAAATGAACTAGAAATTGAACCTTTAGGGCATGTTTGATTGGAAGGATTAAAGTATGGGATTAGGATTATTAATCCGTGGGCCCAACCATCCTATGTTTGTTTTGACATTTGGTTTAGGACTATTAATCCAATGGATAATTAATCCAACAAATTTGTCGTGGATTTTGAATGGTGTAATCAAACAGTGGATACTTTGTAGTTGGGATGACAAACACTGCTTGAAGATACTGAAAAATTGCCGAGTCATTGCCAAAAAATGGAAAAGTGATTGCGGTGGGTATGGTGGTTCCAGAATCTCCTGAAACCATTACGCTATATTTGGTTGGAGATTTGGAGAGTGATTTGGAAAGAGAAAGGAAAAATGTGTGTGAAATTAAATGAAATATAAGTATGTTTTATTCACATTTCACTTACTTTTTTTATTTCTCTTTTTAAATTTCTACTCAAATCTCTCAACCGAATACAACACTAGTGTTGCTGTGAAAAGTGAACTGCAATTCAGCTTTGCTTGATGAACATGAACCCTGGAGGAAAGGAAAGGACCAAAACCCAGTTCCAGCTGTGGCTTGTCGTGCCAACAATTTCTCACTTGTGGAATTCCATAGAAAAATGTAACCCATTGTAACTATTCCTAGGGTATTTATTTTTAGGTTGTGTTTGGATATATGATTTGAGTAGAAAGTTGTGGAGGGGATGGAAATAAGAAGGGAGAAGTGGTGAAAATATGAGTTAAATTTTTATCACTTTTCAGTTCTATTTTCATTTTCTGCTCCAAATTCTTACACAAAATTATGATTTGGACACATTCTTAGTGTCTGCTTGATTGCAAAGGAATAAAGGGAAAATTTATGACGCGCACCCTTACAAAGGGCCACATTGTAAGAAAATTTTGACTTCTTTTTAGTAAAAGTTACGAATGTTTGTAACAAAAGTTAAAAGAATAGTAAATTTGTGATAAATTATTCTTGTTCTGTTGGGTGTGTCAATTTATATTAGTAATAATATTTCTATTAGGCTATGATTGACTATGCTTTAGCACAAACTTAATAAGTAAAGAGCAAGAAATTGTTGATGTTCCATTGCCTTTGACAAATTCAAGGACCCCTTTAAAACAAAGAAACAGGAACTAACTAAAGAATTCAAGCAAACTCAAGGAAATGAACTAGAAATTGAACCTTTATTGTTGAATCTCTAAATTACATCTCAACCAAAAGATACATTTAAGAAACTAAAAGCAAATTCCTACTCTACAGATTAACATATATATATATATATTTTTTTGCCAAAAGGTCCTTTCACTATCTCTCACTCTTCTTTTATAGTCTTCTTTGTCGACTAAGGTTTATTTTGGCAATTGGTTAAAAAAAATTTAAAAAACTAAAAAATCACTACATAAAAATTAATTCTTCTTTTAATTTTGTACATTTTTTCATAAGAAGTCAAAAAATTAAATAAAATAGTCAATTTCTAAAATAACCCTAAGACATAACTGCCATTATTTTTTGTGTGCTTCTGGAACAAAAGAAGGGCGGCCCTGAGATATTCCTAGCCCAATGCGAACTTTTAAAATTGAGCCCTTTATAAATAATTTCAAAAAAAAAAAAAATGATAGGTATGTAAAAGAAAAAAATCTTTTGTTAATATCCACATAAATTCTATTTGTATATATAATCACTACAACTATATACTAAATTTATTTACATAGACTAATATATGAATATAAAGAAATCATTACAAGAAGTAAAAAAAATATAAAAATTTGGTCTTATAACTTTATGATTTAACAAATCTAGGTTACAACTAAAGAGAGAAATAAATAAAATATAAATTTATAATACAGAATAAAAATTTAACTAGTTACAACAAAATATTAATTAAATAATACTCTTATCATATTTTTAAATGTAAAATTACTAATTAAGCATTCTTGGGTTTTATATTAATTTCATAAAATTTAACTTGTAAAAATTTTATAATTTTTCCATACACTTGCTATTTTTAATTAAGAATGAAAGTTTTGATATGAAATATTAATCGAACACGAATAAATAATGATATGATGCAATAACAAAAAAAAATAAATAGATTGGATTAATATTAAAATAATTTTGGAGCTCTTAAATTTTATTCAAATTTGAGGCTAGAGCCATCTTGGTCACCTCAAAAGTAATACAATCGTGACACCCAATTTTTTTTTTAAATAAATAAATTAATAATTAGCGTTATGTTAACATTTTCAAATGATAAAGAACATTCCAAAGAAGATTTTAGGATTAAACACTACAAAAATTTCAATTTTTTTGTGACGGTTAAATGCCGTCGCTAATACTCCTAATGCCGTCTTAAAAAACTTTTAGCGACGGCAAATGCCTTTAAGCGACAACAAAAGAGGAGTCACAACAGAGGGCGTTGCTAAAACCTTTTAGCGACGGCATCATGCCATCTCCTTTTTTTTGTGACGGGAAATGTTACCTTTTGCGACGGCATTTTACTGTCACTTATAATATGTAAAAAACTAACACCTTTTGCAACAATGCTATTGTACCGTCGCTAAAAGTTTTATTTGAGACGGCAAAAGGTGCTGTCACGAAATGTTTTTTATTGCGACGACATGACCTCTGTCGCCAATTTCTTTTGTGACAGCATTGCCTATGTCGCCAAAAAAAAAATACATTTTGGTTCTAATGTTTTTTGCGATGGTGTGATGCCGTCGTTAAAAAAAAAAAAAAAAAAAAAAAAAAAAAAAAAAAAAAAAAAAAAAAAAAAAAAAAAAAACAAACAAACAAACAAACAAACAAATTATTATTAAAAATATTAAATTACCTGTATTAAATAAAAAATAATTGAAAAGAAAACCAATAATTGCATAATAATACAAAAATTCTTGTATAGAAATAGCAATTGCTCCATAATAAAAATATTCTTGCATTCATAACTATACATAAGCAAAATTACCCCACTACATAATATTCCATAGTACATATATAATGTTTAAATACATAATGTTGTTCACAATTCAAAATAACATAAACCAAAAACAAAAAATTTCTTCATCATTCTCCATGGGTAACAAAAACAAAAGTTAGTCGCATTCTTTATAGGCATGCATTCTACAAGAAGCAAACTTCTACTCGGGAAATATCTGAAAACAAAAAATAAAAAAAATTAATGACAATATAATTATGTGTTAATATGTTAATTACAAAAAAAGATAAAATTTAACTAATATACAATTACAAAGATAATTAAGTAAATAATTTTGCTTAGACCGAAATCCGGCTCTAACTTCCAAGCCGGGAACCCGATTCGAGTCTCGTCTTTTCCCACAAGTCTCTTGTGCCTAGGCGGTCGTGTATGCCAAGTTTCGTGGTAATTCGACACCGTTTGGTGATTCTGGGGCATCAACACCTTGAATTCTAAGTTTCTTTAGGAACTAGTTTGCCTAGATCGAAATCCGGCTCTAACCCCTAAACCGAGAACCCGATTCAAGGCTCGTCTTCTCCCACAAGTCTCTCGTTCCTAGGCAATCATGTGTGCCAAGTTTCGTGCTAATCTGACGTCGTTTGGTGATTTTGGGGCGCCAACACCTCGAATTCTAAGTTTCTTAAGGAACTAGTTTGCTTAAAGTGAAATCCGTCTCTAACTCTCAAACCGGGAACCCGATTCGAATCTTGTCTTCTCCCACAAGTCTCTCGTGCCTAGGCGGTCATATGTGCCAAGTTTCGTGCTAATCCGACGCCGTTTGGTGATTTTGGGGCGTCAACACCTCGAATTCTAAGTTTCTTAAGGAACTAGTTTGCCGAAAGTGAAACCCAGCTCTAACAACCAAACTGGGAACCCGATTCAAGTCCTGTCTTCTCCCACAAGTCTCTTATGTCTGGGTAGTCATGTGTGCCAAGTTTTCATGCTAATCCGACGCCGTTTGGTGATTTTGGGGCATCAACATCTCGAATTCTAAGTTTCTTAAGGGACTAGTTTGCCTAGAGTGAAATCCTGTTCTAACTCCCAAACCGGGAACCCAATTCGAGTCTCGTCTTCTCCCACAAGTCTCTCGTGCCTAGGTGGTTGTGTGTGCCAAGTTTCATGCTAATCCGACACCGTTTGGTGATTTTGGGGCGTCAACACCTCGAATTCTAAGTTTCTTAAAGAATTAGTTTGCCTAGAGTGAAATCTGGCTCTAACTCTCAAATCGAGAACTCGATTCGAGTCCTGTCTTCTCCCACAAGTCTCTCGTGCCTAGGCGATCATGTGTGCCAAGTTTCATGCTAATCCGATGTCGTTTGGTTATTTTGGGGCGTCAACACCTCAAATTTTAAGTTTCTTAAGGAACTAGCACTATAACAAAATTGAATAATTATACTTTTCACGATATAATTTTGTATGTCGTAAAAGGTTATTTTTAGTATATTTTCTGGCATACTTTGTATGTCGTATGTAATCTTTTACAGCATTTTCATGGATGTCATAAATTATTACACTTTTCACGACATAATTTTGTATGCCGTAGAAGGTTATTTTTAATATATATATATATAGAGAGAGAGAGAGACAGAGACAGAGACAGAGACAGAAAAACATATTCAATGTTCATTACATGAGTAAACTCAATATATAAACACATGATATTCAAAGCATATTCAACATATGTAGCTTAACCACATGATGCATTTTGTTTAAAAGGGCATAAGAAGCAGGATTACATTATCATTGTTGATTTCCTCGAGGTAAACAACTAATCATTTATAATAAGAAAACAAACATACAAAGTGCATACTTGGAAGAACCACCAATAAGATCAGTTCCATGTAGAATGCAATCAATTTATTTCATGCTTATTATGAAAATATATCCGATCGATTTACACAACAAACAGATTATATTACTCAAATTATCTGACTATCCAACTTCTCATAGCATGAAACATCCTTGCATTTTGGTGTCAAATCATCTTCACAAATGTGTATGTACAAACATTGCTTGCATATATATCGGGATGATTCAATGATAGGGCTAATACACAAAGCAATAAATCTTAACTAGGTGCATTTGTTGATCACCCTATATCCTGATAGAAGTGAATCAGATGGAGGATGAGGACCAACTGATCAAGCTTTTGGATAAAAAATTTACAATTGAAAAATAATGTATATAAATTGATTTTCTTAATCGTCTTAATTCATAACTGGTGGGATTTCCATCTTTGTAATCTGTTGATAACAAAATTAATGTGCATCAGATTACCGAAGTTGCTGTTTGAAAATGAATATAACACATGACTCCAAGAAGATTTAGAGCTCTGTTGGAAATAGCTGGCACAATTTTGTCATTACTCCAAAGTTGAGACAACATACATTGCAATTTGTTGAAAACACTAACCATGAATGAAGTCCACAGCTTAGCATATATCACTCAATGACGGAGCAAAGAGGTAGTCTCTTGTTGGAAGCACCAAATGATTAATACCATAAGCCTGCAACAAATTACCATAATCAGAAATAAATGGAAGAGCTCGGTGAATAACCTTGCACTACAGTGAAATATGGCTAAAGGATGTCAATAAACATGGTGTTAAAAAAAATGACGTAAAATAGTTTATGCATCTCAATAACATTCATATGTTGGACCACTAGTCAAAAAAATAAAAAATAAATAAAAACCATCTCCCTCAAACTTATTTGGTAAAGCTCACATTCCAACAAATCAGAAATACCCAACAAGATTCCAGATGGAGTGAAAAGCCAAAAAGAATTACTTTCTCAAATAAGTTTGGGAATGAATGCACTTCAGAAGCAACCTTTAATTATTGCACTTAGTAAAATAAATGGATGCACTTCAGATAACAAGGCATGCCAAGCTGTAAAAAAATGCACAAGTTAAAAAACAAAAACTCAAACTCAAACTCACTTGATATAGAGATGTTGGAAACAAAGTCTCATATGGCTCAGTTAAGGTGATCACTCCACAAACTCCAAGATCTTTCAACCGTTCAACATCGGCAGGGAATGTGATAGCACCTAATAGTACACACTGAAAATGGAGACATGATTTTGATAAGTAAAACTACAAATGGACATAGTAGAAGCAGCACTAACTTTAGTTCATATTGCAAAAAGCATATCTCATTATAAGCACTGAACAATTTCTAAACCAGTCAGAATACATGATGATGTTTTTTTTTTTTTTTTAAATTTCCTGGCACAGGGGTGTCCTTAGATGAAATCATGATTACCTAAATAAATCACCATAAAACTACAACTCACCAGTCTTTTAACCCCCAAAATCAAAGTAAACCCCAAATGCACCATCAAGAACGCACAAATCACTACTAAACAAACTAGCAATTATAAATTTATATATACTAACCAAGACAAACAGGGCAAGTAGGCAATTCAACGAATCTGGGAAGAGGTGAATAGGCTTCTTCTGCCAACTCATAGCTCTCCGCTGATTGAGCAAAATATATATGATAGACCTCAGAAAATATATATGACGACCTCAGCCTAACAAATCAAGCATAAAAATCTCCAATTAAAAATACTAGTAAAAGATAGCATTAAACCTTTTAAATCTAACTAATATATATACTATTATATAATGCGCACAACTCATAAGGGTTTGAAGGTTTGTAACTTATTTTTTTCCCCCAAAAAATGTTCAATATTGTTAACTGCTTCAAAATATAACTGCTACCATTTATCAAATTCAACCCATATTCTTCATTCATCAAATCATCAAAAAATTAGAATGTAAAATTGCAATGAAATTACAAACGCATACTAATATATAAAGCACACTACTCATAAGGATTTAAATTAAAAAATACCCATATTATTAACTTTTTCAAAAAAAAATTAACAGCTAGCCATTCTCAAATTCAACGCATCTTCTTTATTTACCATATCATCAAAAAAATTCAGATGTAAAATTGCAGTAAAATTACAATCACATCGTTTGCACCTATTGCTAGTATATATATACATAGAGAGAGAGAGAGAGAGATGATTAGGGACCTCCGATGATTTGAACCGCTTTCCATTGAAGTTACAATAAAATCCATCAGCAGTCAACTGATTGGCAAGCGTGATCAACACATTGTACCAATCCTCCATTTCATCATTCCTACAATACACTCAAAACAAAAACAAAAACAAAAAAACCCTAGGGTTTCAAGTTCTCAAGTAACAATCTCAATAATAAAAAAATAAAAATTGAAGAGCTTGGAGGTGGATACCAGAGGAAGCAGAGTTCAAAGAAGTGGTCGAGGTGGGATCCACAGAAGAGGAGGATGAACATTCTTAGGGTTAGGATTAATGGCCAGCATGTAGAGATTGACATTCATAGGGTGAATCGATCAATGAACCCTTACTGCGAAGGATCTAGAAATATAATAAAATGAATCAAACAGAGGTGAATCGATGATGAGCACTTACCACAAAGGATTGACCGATGATATCGTCGAGAGAGATGCAGAGAGGAAGAGAGAAAGAGAGAGAGAGAGAGAGAGAGAGAGAGATTATAGTATTGATCAAATAAATAGGGTTAATGTGGCTTCAATTGAATGTATATAATAAATAGGGTTAATTACATTGTCGCTCGACGCCGTCGTTTGTTGCTGCCATCGCTCGACACCATTATCTGCCGCTGCTCGCCGTCGTTCAATGCTATCGTTTGCCCTGCTCACAGTCGCGAGAGAGAGAGAGAGAGAGAGAGATGGAGATTTTTGGTTCAAAAGATTAGGGATTTGAGATTTGGGTATTTTTGGTTGAAGGGGGAAAAATGAGCGCGAATAAGATTTTGGGCTTTTTTTTTTTTTTTTTTGGCAACATCAAGTATAACCGCCGCATATGAAAATTTAAGGTAGTGTTTCGTAATGTTTACGTTTTTAGTTTATGTTTACAAAAATTTTATAAATCGATTTTTGTTTATTTTTAGAAAAACATAAATTATAAACGTGTTTGGTTTGAACAAAATGTTTCAAAAAATTTAAAAACATAAACTAAAAAACATGTTTATCCAGGCCTAAAATATTTATATTTTATTTTTTTATTATTTATGACAATGAGATCATACACATTATAATGGAAAAAGAAATTAATTGAAAAAAAAACATTTGAAAAAAAAATTAATTAAAAAAAAATTGTTAGTCAAATTTTTAAATTTCCATTTAAAAACAACGTAAACTCATTTTTTGAGTTTACAATTTTTTCTCAAATTTATAAATTGAGACAATCATTTATAAACCAAAAGAATTATCAAACAAGTTTTTTATGACAGTTTTGTAAATTTTTGTGAATATAAATTAAAAATTGAAAACGAAATGGTTATCAAACAGGCCATAAACAATGAATCCATGACTCGTTTAGTAATTTTTTTATTTGCGATGGGGGTATTGCCATCGTTGATAACCTGTATTTGCGATGAGGGAAGGTTGTCGTAGCAGAAAAAAAAACTCATTTTTTTTGCCAAAAACCTCCGTATCCATTTTGCTGCGCAATGAAAGCTACGAAGAGAGAGAAACAGGAGATGATCAACGAGAGAAAGAGAGAAAGAAAAAAAAGAGATGAACGAGAAAGATATAGAGGGAGACAAAAAAAAGAGAAGAGAGGTGAGCAAGAGAGACAGAGAGAGATGAGAGAGATAGAGAAGAGAGATGAGTGAAAGAGAGAGAGAAGAGAGATGAGAGACACACAGAGAGAGAGAGAGAGACCCATTTCATTTTTTAACTTTTTCCTCTTTCAACAACAATGGGCTCAGAGAAAAAGATGAATGTGATTGAAAGAAATGAACGATTGAGAGAGAAGAGAGATGAAAGAGAGAGAGAGAGAGAGATATATAACAAAAAGAGATGAACAAGAGATATAGAGAGAGTGAAAGAGAGAGAGAGAAGAAAGATAAGCAAGAGAGATAGAGAATGAAGAGAGATGAGAGAGCTAGGGAGAAGAGTGATGAGTGAGAGAGAGAGAGACACAGAGAGAGAAAGAGAGAGAAACAATGTGACGACCCCATCATGTATAATATTTTACATTTAATTAATTCTAATTCTAATTTAATTGTGGAATTCTCAATAAGGTGAAATTGACGAATTGAATTATTTTAATGTCGAGTATCGGACCATATAAGAGTTTAATTAAATATCTGATTCAGTTTAGTAAATTTGAAATTTTATTAATTGGGTCCGAATTGGAGTTGATTAAGTTATAAAAAGAAAACAAAATAAATAAATAAATAATGATAATAATACATAGCTATACATGCTAAAGATGTAATTTAATTTGGCATTAGTTTATCAAAAGTATGATTAATATATTTTTTGGGGCCAAATCAAAACAACTATGACATTATGATACTAATTGGGGCCAAGTAAGAATATAAGAAAAGGTATGTGTAGATACCTCATTTTTGACCATCCTAAAGACTTGGACGTCATCGATTGAGTGCTCGGTGATTGTGCAAGTTTGTGATCGTTTTGAGTTTCTATTCAGCTAAGTGCCTTGTCTCGGGACCTCTTAACTTTCTCCTCTTGGCCTGGTTTTTGGACCATGCCTTGCTGCCTTTGCCTGGAGGAAAACAAAGGCCTGTAGGCCACTTTTTGTAGCCGTAGGCTACCTTTCCCTCTCGTAGGCCACTGGTAGTGGCCCGTAGACTAGTTTTCGGGGCTTTTGGTTGAGTGCCTTGTCCTGCGGACCCTTGTCTTGCGGACCCTTGTCTTGCGGACCCTTGTCTTTCTTCCTTTTTGGTTTGTTTTTGAACCAAACCTTGTTACCCTTTGCTTGAAGGGTGGAAAAGGGGTGTAGACCACTTTTCTCCCCTGTAGACCACTTTTGGTGGTCGGTCAGCTAGGGTGGGTGGTCGGTCGACCAGCATAAGTGGTTTACAGCCTGCCATCACCTTCTCCTCTCTTTGTAGACCCTTTTTCTCCCCTACCAGCCAGTTTTATTCCCTGTAGACCACTTTTCGTGGTCGGTCGACTACTTTAACTGGTCTACGGCCTTTTTTTTTGCTTTTGTAGATATTTTTGGTGCCAGCTGTGCCAGCTGGTGGCCACTAAATACATCCTCCATACACGTGTATGGAGGGATTCAAACAAGTTTAAGCTTGTGATTGCATTGTTCTATAAGAGGGGAGCTCTCTCTCCCTTTCCAGAGGTTCTGAGATTTTGGAGCCAAATATCTCTCTCTCTCTCTTGTTTTCTCCCTCCCTCTTTATATTTATGTTATTTTGTGCTCAAAAGTGCTATTTTTTCACACTTTTGCACACAAACACCTAGTAAAACACATTTACTCTTGAGTTGAGGTTTTTGGAGGTTGCATTTGAGTGGTTTTGGCTTGGTTTTTGCCTCTGAAGTTGCTGTTTTGAAGTTGTTCTTCAAGGGTGAGTCTTTAGCCTCTTTAAAGTTTTGTTTTCATTGCTTATTTGGCCCTATTTGCATGATGTTTTAGGCCTAACTTGCAACTACAAAAAAATTTGTTTTTAAGTGCTTAAAGTGTTTGTTTGAGGCCTCTTTGGTGTTGGGGGTGGTCTACCCCATTTTGTGCCTTATTTTGCTTTGTTTTGTGTCATCTCTTTAGGCCTTTGAGATCACCTTTGTTCGGCCTCTTCACCACTGAATACCAAAGGAATTTCAGTGGTGGAAAGTGTGTTTTGGGACCTAAAATAGGTGGGGGTGGTCCCCCCATTTTGTACCTTGTTTGCATGTGTTATTAGCTTACCAAGTTAGCATGTTTTTTTACCTTCTTAGGCCCCTATCTTAGCATGTTTTAGGTCTTGTTTTTCCATGATATAGCTCTATTTAGGGTTGGTTTGGTTACCTCAGGCATTCTTTTTACACTTGTAGTATAGTCTTGCTATTTAGCCTTGTGTGCTCAATGCTTTGATCCATCATGCTAACCTATTTTGGTTCTATCTCAGCATATTTTTTGTGTTTTTTTAGCATGCCTTAGCTCTGTTTTGGGTTAGTTTGATTGCCTCTTGCATGCTTCATACCCTTGTAGTGCAATCCTACCTATAGCCTTAACATGCATCATGCTTTGGACCACCATTTTAGCATGTTTTTGGCTCCACTCCACAAGCTTTTAGTCATGTTTTGCCATGCTTAAGCTCTGTTTTAAGTATTTTTGGTCATGCATGCCTTGCTTTGTATAGCCTCAGTGCAATCTTGCTCACTAGCTTTGTGTTCTGAGTCCACTAGCATGCATTACTTGAGTTATTTGCATGATTTAGCATCATGTAATATATGATTTCAGTGCATGAAGTGTGCCCATACTCTCCCATGCTTCACTCTTTCAATGCTTTTGGAGGGTCATGTTTTATGCCTCAATCATGAGCCAATTGGCATGCATGCTTGCCTAAGCTTTTTGGACTACCATCTCAGTGTGTTTTTGGTCTTATTTTGCCATGATACAACTCTGTTTTTGGTTGGTTAGAGCATCCCTCATTTGCTTCTTACACTTGTAGTGTAATCATGCTCATTGGCCTAGCTTACTTGGTGTTTTGGCCTTTTATTCTAGCATATGTTGGCTATGTTCAAGCATGTTTTTGGCATTATTTTCACCTGCCTTGGGACTATTTTAAGTCACCTTGGCCCTTTAGGGCTTGCTTGATAGGGCTTTGGTACTATGGCTATGGTGCAAGTACCTTGGTTAGTCTTGAGTTTTGAACACCTTAGCATGTTTTATTTGAGCTATTGGCATGATATGGTATCATTTAGCATGGTATTTCAGAGCATATACTTCCATCATGCACTCATATATATCGCTCTTTAATTGTGTTTAAGAGTTGTGCCCTTATGCCTTATTTATGGGCCAATGCATGAGCATGCATTTTCTTGCTTTCAATGCTATCATTATAGAGTGTTTTGGCCACTATCTTGGCATGCATGAGGTCTGTTTGGGGCTGGTCTAATCCATTGAGCATTGTATTGCATAGTCCTAATGTTGTGTACCTCACTAGCTTTTATGCTTTAGGACTCTAGTATGCCATACTTGTGTTGCTTGCATGATATGTCATCACTTGGCATATGATTTAACTGTTTGGACCTTTGTCATGCTCTCTTATATGTCACTCTTTCAATGTGTTTGAAAGTTAAGCCTTTTGCCTTGCTTGCGAGCAAATGAATGAGCATGTGTTATTTGCCTTTTTGTGCCTAAGTCTTGGTGTGTTGGCCACAGTTTTGGCATGGTTTAGGTCTGTCCATAGTTGGTTTAGCCATTTAAACTTGGTATTGCATGCCTCTTGTGAGATGCTCTTTACTAGCTTTGATGTTCTTGGCCTCCGAACATGTCTTGCATGCATTGTTCACATGATAGAGACTTGTGCATACCACTCCGGCTTTGATAGATACACATGTTGTTTGCATGTTGTTGCATCACATGTTGTTTGCATGTTGTTGCATTGCATGTTGCTTGCATGTTGTTGCATCGCATTGTGTTTGGAATGTTGTTGCATTACATTGTGTTTGGATCGGACGTTAATCTAAACTCGAGAAACGAGGGGCATTTCATACTTGAAGTGATGAAACGCGCCTCATTTCTCGGTCGCCAACCCTCTTGATCAAGCATGATAGAGGTGGAGGCCCTTATGTGTTATTTGTGCATTCATTGACATTGAATTGTGCAAACTTGGCTCCTCGGCCATCATGCATTGCGATGTTCGGTTGGTGGCCCGAGATTCAAGTACCGCACTCCCTTGAGCTTGAGAAATGATAGGGAGGGTGGTTGTGCACACATATCTTGCAAATACACTGCTATGCCCCTTGTTGTTCTCTGTTGCAGCAAAACTGGAGCTTGCCAAATTTTATGGTCGGC